GCTCTCCATTCTATTTCCTTGTCAGCCGCCACATCCCCTTCCCTCCCCTACTCCCCTTAAAAAAACCCTAAAATTTCATTATTCTCGTACTTTCTCTGCTCAGCCGCCAAATCTGGTTCTTGTAGCAGGTAGTGCCTTCGCGTCTTTGATTGCATTCTTCTTTTATCTGTTTGCTGTTTAGTTTATTTCACTCTCTGTGTATCTCTGCTTATACTTTACCAGCTTCCCGCCGTCGACATTAAGAGCAAGCATCAAGTTCTCACCCAGCTCAAGTACGAATCCAAGTTCTAGCGGTCAGCTACCTTTTCCTTCGTCTGCCTTGTCAATCGTTTTTTTTTCTCATACATTTACTGGCATTTTATTCGAAAATTGGAAATCTAATTGCTATTGTTTTGATATTTTTTTTTTATGTAACTTGCATTTTGTTCGAAATAAAAGGGTTAGATTCCAAATACCTTTCGTCTTTTTTTTTTCTTTTCTGTAAACAGCTTGAGTAGTATCAGTAGGTTTTGAATAGTATTGGCGAACAAAATGGGTCTTTTTTTTCTTGAAAAAGACAAATTAGGGAAAATGGTGGAGGAGTGTAGGAGTTGTCGACCTGGTGGAGTGAAAAGGTTTTGTCGTAGGGATAGTGCCGATTGGGGTAAAATTAGGAGGGTCAGTCATGAATTCTGGTTTGAATTAACTTTGAGATTTAGTCAGACTTCAGGTATGCAGATCGGGGGAACCAACTAGGAGAGCTTACAAGGGAGCAAGATGAGATTAAATACACTTATAGGAATAAATAAATAATCAAGGAGATTAAAGGCTTGCAAAGAAGGGAAAAGAAGAGAAATATGGTCAATGACAGTGTTGAACAATAATAGAGATAAGATAACAGAAGAGAAAGAGAAGAGAGAAGAGAAGAAAGTTGTTAGGGTGAACCAGAGGGGAATGAACATAAGAGTGATAAAACAGCATAATTGAAAACAATATTTGGCAAATATATGTGTTATGATCTGTACTCTGGTGATGTGTATTTTGTTGAAGATGGCCAACCAACTCTGCATCTGCGGAAATTGAATTCTAGTACGAGTTCTGCAGTGACTTGCTGAAGTAGTGCGCTGAGTAATTGCGTTGTAAATGTGTTTGCCTGAATGTGTGTGTGTGTGATAGATATTGGAAATGGTTGCATGTGAGTGCTTTAAACCTTGCTGTTAACTTTTATAACTGTGAGCTGTTATGGATGTGTACGTGTGTACAGTGGAACTAGGTAATGAGGTTTCGGATGAAATATGGTGTCTATGCATATGCGTTGTTTATACTAACCTGTTTACATTTACCTGCGGAATTATGAGCTCTGGTAGGAGCTGTGTGTGTGGCCTATTGTTGGGTCGTGAGGTGTGTGTGTGTGTTGCATGACGGCTTCTTGAAAACATAAAATGCAGAATCTGCGTGGCCTGTAATTGGGTTGTTGAGTGTAAGTGTTGAGTTAATAATTTGCGTGATGAATTAATTGACAGAAATTTGGGTGGATGTTGAGCCTAATAAGTAGCATAAATTTGGGATTGCCTGTGAGAGAATTATTAATATGAACAGGGAAAAAGGGACTCGGGCTAATTGAAAGAATTGGAGCAGATGTGCAGGTGAAGGGAGAAACTGAGTGAGGGAAAAATATGGAGAGAGCAGACCTGTTGAGTCTGCAGGTTGTAGGGTGTGTGTAAGGGAAAGAAGATACTGAGCAGAAAAAAAATGAGGCAGTGAGAAAGAGCAGTCCTTTGGGGGTGGCAGGAGGATAGAGCGGGCCTGCTGAGCTGTTTTGGTTAGTGCAGACGAGTGAGTGTTTGTCGAGGAGTGAAACAGTAAGGAAAGAAAAATGGTGAAGCAGAGACAGAGAGAGGGCAGACTTGCTGGGTCATTTCGGGATAATGCAGGAGTGACAGATGATGAGTGAAACAGTGAGGAAAAGATGAACATGGAGAGATGGGAGAAGAGGAATCAGAGAGGTTTAGAGGTGGTGGTTGCGGAATGATGGAGGAAGCCGGGAGTGATGAGAATATTTTGCAGGCAGGGGGATGTTCAAGTCAAGAACGAGTAAGAAGAGGGAGGTTGGGTAGAGGGAAATCCCAACCAAAGGAATGAATGAATTGAGTGTAAACTAGGTGGTGCTGTCAGGAAAATTGTCTTGAAAATAGGAGAAGTGACTTGAGGAAAGGGTAAGTATTGAACAGAAAATAACATGGGCCTGGGGAGGAAACGAGTTTGCGAGTTGTTCTTGAGGAAAATGGGGAATTTATTTACATTTATTTCTATTCTGTTGGTTTTAGTTTGAATTGATTTTACTGGGCTGTATAGCTCATCCCTTTATCATATTTCAGAAATAATTAAGCAGGAACTGATTTCATGAGCTCCCGGAGTCTGACCATGAGCTGGAATGCGTGCAGAATTTACTTGTGGAACTGGGGGAGGATTCACTTGATAGATTTATTTTTTTTGTTTTGGTGAAGTGTCAGCTTAATCAGATGAGTTTACTTGCTGTATTGGATGAAAACTGTTTATGAGTTGAGAGGCATAGTAGTTATGAGCACTTTTTTTGGGAAATGTAGATGAGTAAAGTAGTTGGTCTATATTGTGTTAATATACCTGTACTTAGTACCTGTTACAGTGGGAAAACTCTTGTTAATATTGGGATGTATCCGTTGACACTAGTAGATGAATGACTACGTTGACATAATGTGGTGTAAATGCAGGTTGTTACATTAGATTTTTCTAACAGTTATGCTATTTTAGAGAAAATTTTTGAGGATAATTAGAGAGGGGATTTAAAGGGAAGAAAAGAGAAGTTCTTTTTCCCCTGAATCAAATTTTCATTTACTTACTTCTTGATATTTATTTGCAAAACATTAGCATATTGCTTTGACCATTGACAAACTGATGAATAGGGGAAGAGTGATAGTGAATGCTTGTTATTTATGTAAAAGAAGGCTGAGACCTTTTTGTACATATCTTTTTGTGCATATCTTTTGTAAAAGAGTGATAGTGAATGGCATATATATATGCCATGGACAAGCTGATGAGTTGTACATAGATTGTATCCCTTTGGTGCTATTGCATTAATATATTGTTTACACTTTCTTGTCTAAAAAAAAAATTAGCATCTTGCTTTGAAATTTAAGGTGGATTACTCATTAATTGGTGGCATTCCAGGTGATTGGTTTCTAACTGCATGATAATGGAGTCCCTTTTTAATCAGCCATCCATTTTATTGTTTTAGGATTAAATTGTGTGCTTGCTGTAGACTAAAATAAAGTTATACACTACCGAACTTTGTCAGTTTATCAATATACGAACTTTGAAATTGCTTTCTATTTATTGTAGTTGGTTTCATTTCTAAGCTTCTTTTGCAAATCAACTTGTACTTATTTGGTCTGATTGAAGCAGGTAATGGCTTCAAAACAGCCAAATACCGGCCTCTTTGTGGGATTAAACAAAGGCCACATTGTAACCAAGAAGGAATTGGCGCCTCGACCCTCTCTTCGTAAAGGAGTAAGTTTTTTCTATGCCCGCAGAATTTCCATAACCTACTTATTTTTCTGAGTTCGGTTTCTTATTGATGTATTTTGCTGTGCTATTATTTTGCAGTTGATTTTTTTAGGAGACTTAGTTGAAATTTCTTTGTTGCAGTTGTGAATATTGAAATTCTTAGCTTGCTTCTGATTAACTTCTGATATTTATGTGATCTCTCTCCTGTTTTCCATCTGTTGCCCTCTGGTTTGTTTATTCGCAGAAAACCAGCAAAAGGGTTCACTTTGTGAGGAGTTTGATCCGTGAAGTTGCTGGTTTTGCACCATACGAGAAGAGAATCACTGAGCTTCTGAAAGTTGGCAAGGACAAGCGAGCACTGAAAGTAGCCAAAAGAAAGCTTGGCACTCACAAGAGGGCAAAGAAGAAGCGTGAGGAGATGTCCAATGTACTCCGCAAGAGCAGGTAATTTCCAAGATAATATATATACCAATATCTCATCTGTTATTTACAGGCATGTACATGTTCTAGAATACAAGCTTTTTTGTTTCTCACTATCTTTGATGGATGGTTAGGGAAGAAATGCTGTTGTATTAATTTTTTTTTAGCATTTTCTTACGGAAATATTTCACGCAGGGCTGCAGGAGGTGGAGAGAAGAAGAAGTGAAGCATGTTTGGCTAGTTTGTTTTGGTCTCACACCTAGAAGCAAGGTTTTTACTTCGGTAATCACATTTTGTAGGTTCTACATTATCATATTTAGAGAGGAAACTTTCTTTATGGGGTTTTGTTGTTTTCCATTTCATAGTGAATCGAAAGAACTGCGGATTTTATCATTTTGTCCCTGGACTTTGTATTTTGATATGATCTATTTAGATTTTTATTTTGATGAAAACTTATTAAGGGGAAATGACACTAATGTTTGACATGATAATGGTAAAATTGTAAGCTGAAATTGCTTGATATGATATTGATAGAAAACTGGTATGTTTCAAAAATATGAGTAAGCAAGCAATGTATAAAATTGCTTATACTACTGTTAATAGTTCATTAAAATGAGTTCTGCTAGTAATAATTTGTAGTTTTTGATTCTTTATTACATGTTTTTATGCACTGTAAGTATAAGAAGTATATAAAATAATTTTTAAGAAAAATTAGGACAATTAAAAATAATGAAAAAAAAAATTTGAGAAAAAATAATACAAAATTGGAGAGAATTCAACAAGAAAAGCAAAGCTGTAAAAGTTATTTTATTTCACATTAGTAATTAGAATGGAAAGTGTAAATGTAAAAAATGTTGTTTGGCTTCAGTAATTTTATTTGTGAATAACCCTATTTATCTTGTTATTTCACAATTACTTATAGTTGTTAAGAATTGTGAAGCTAATTTGATTAAGAAAAAACAAATCAAGTGTGATTTATATTTTTTATCATATAATAACAAATTATTAATTTAGTTTCTAAATTAGGAATCATGTTTCAATTTAATCACAATAATTAGTTTTGTTATAATGTGATCCGCGAATTGTTTTAAATATGAATGGTTTTAGTTTTTTTTTTTTAAATTTAAAAATAATAAAAAATATTTTATTTTGAATAATAAAATTCGAACCGAGTGATGTTGAAAAATCAACAGATAAATTATAATTATGGGTGAAGTTTCACCTCACTCGAACCCAAAGCTAATTAGTTATCTTTAAAATACGTTAAAGCGTAGAACATTTAGATGTAAAGTATTATTTTAGTGCGGGTCACAAAAATAATATTAAATTAAGACAAATTTTGAATGTTATATATGATATCAAAAGTATTTAAAAATATAAAATTTTTATTAAAAGAAGAAATTGAAATAAAATAGAATTTTCATAATTTGTAAAACGAATTGTAAATTTAAAAAAAAAAAAAAGATTAAGCACCAAATTATAATAAACAAAATTTTAAGAATATAATTGGAACACAATAAATAGTTTAAAGGATAAAATAGTAATTTCCTTTCATAATATTAACAGTGTTTAACTTTAAATATTATTCATTCATAATATTTATGACTAATTTTTAGTTAATGGTGTTAGTTTAACTCATTATTTTAATTTTAAAATAAAATATTAAATTAATAAAAATGATTGAACATTTTGTGTAAACTTTTAATTAATAAATTTCGTAAAGAGTTAAGTAACTGTTTGATTGAAAAATAAAAATATTAATTATTTTTACCTTTTAATAAAATTAAACTTAAAATTTAAAAGTAAATATTTTTTTTTTCAAATTAATTTATAGTGTAAGTACTGAATATTATTTTAAATGAATATATTTATTACACTAAAAAGAAAGAGAATTTGTGGGCAATTTTCTAAATAAAAGTCTTTTACATATTAAAATAGAATAAAAATAAAAATAAAAATAAAAATAAATAAAATAACCCTAATTTTATTTCACTCCATGTGTCTCTCTGCTTATTCTTCACTAGTTTCCCGCCGTCGACGTTAAGAGCAAGCATCAAATTCTCGCCGACCTCAACCCCGTCGAGCACGAATCCAAGTTCCAGAGGTCAGCTACCTCTTCCTTTGGCCGCTTCGTCAGTCTTTTTATTCTCGTATATTTGCTATTTACTTGCATTTTATTCGAAAATTGGAAATCTAATTGCTATTGTTTTAATTTTTCTTTATGTAACTTGCATTATGTTCGAAATGAAAAGGGTAGATTCCAAATCCCTTTCGTTCTTTTTTTTGCCTTTTTTGTAAACAGGTTGAGTACTACCGGTAGGTTATGAATGATGACGAACAAAATGGGGGCGGGGGTGTTTGATCAAAAGATTTATAAAAACAGAGGGAGGATATTGAAAACAAGGGATTAGTTGCCCAAAAGCAGAGATGCCGGATATATATATATATATATGTATCTATATAAATCTGGAGATGGAAGGAAATGAAAAACAAGGCTGGGTGTCATTATGAATGAAGGGAAATTTGGTTTAGTGATGATGAAGATGAAGATGAAGTTGCATTGAATGAAGGGAAAAAAAAGAAGAAAACAGAACTGTTGACAAATGGCGATTGGCGAGAAAGAATAGAAATTGGGAGGAAGCAAAACGTAGGTTTTTCTAACAGTTTTGCTATTTTAGAGAAATTTTTTTGAGGATAATCAGAGAAGGGATTTAAGAGGAAGAAAAGAGAAGTTTTCTTTTCCCTGATTCAAATTTTCATATGTACTTGTTGATATTTATTTGCAAAACATTAGCATATTGCTTTGACCATTAACAAGCCGATGAGTAGGGGAAGAGTAATAGTGAATGCTCGTTGTTTATGTAAAAGAGCGGCTGAGACCTGCAATCATCCTTTTTTTATGGTGTCCCATTGCTTATAATTTATGGTCCATTGTCTAGTCTGCCGGACCTTAGTTGGGTTGGGGTGGGGTTTGTAAAAAGAAGAAATTTTTAAAACTTATCTGATTGACTATTCTATAGATGGTTTGAAAAGAGAGAAATATGAGAGATTTTGAAGGGGTGGAGAGCGATATGGCAAAAATTAAAGATAGTTGGTATCATTATTTTGACTATATTTTTTTGGGGCACATGTATAGGGTAGAAGATTTTGGACATGTCATAGATAGTTTAACTGAGTTGTAAATATCTTTTGTACATGAGTTGCATCCTCTTGGTGCTATTGTATTTATATATTGTTTATACTTTTTATCTAAAAAAAATAGCATATTGCTTTGATATTGTGGTGGATTACTCATTAATTGGTGGCATTCTAGGTGATTGGTCTCTAACTGCCTGATAATGGAGTCCCTCTTTAATCAGCCATCCATTTTATTGTTTTAGCATTAAATTGTGTGCTTGCTGTAGACTAAAAGAAAGTTATACATCACTGAACTTTGTCAGTTTATCAATATAGATATATTACTTCGCATTTCATGCTTTACATTGCAATAGGGGAAATACTCGTCAGTTAGCAGTCAGATTTGTGTTTCCTAAAGTTGTGTTTCCATGCTGTGAATTGCTTGATGTTTATTAATATCATGTGTATTTATATATATGATAAGTCTATGTAAATTTAAGAAAATATTACTTGTAGTTGTTTTATTTAATAATGGTAGATATATTGTCAAATCGATAAGAGCTGGATGAAAAAGTCAAGATTGAGTGAAAAATATTATCAAGGTGTTAATAGATTTATTTCAAAGAAAATATTATCAAGGTGTTAATAGATTTCTTGAATTTGCTTTTGAGAGATCTTCTCATTATATTACATGTTTGATTTATTTGTTAACAGAAAGCAGATCACTAGGATTGGGCTTGTAAAATCCAAATTCTCAGTATGAGGTACGCACGCTATGCTTGTTTTCTTCATTTACTCTGCCCTTGTTCATTGTACTCTGTGTGTGTATATATATGTACAAACACAGTCACAGTCCTTATGGTTTATGCTTTTTATCTCATTTCTACTATTACATCTATTATATTTTTCATGGTGATTAGTGAATATGAATAATAAATGGAGAAGTCAAGAATGCCACTGTTTTTGTGTTTTGCTGATAGGCAGCAACGATACGTTCACACTGCGTAGACAAATATTTAGTACGAATAAACTCCTGATGTTTAGAAGTCAAGAATGCCACTGTTTTTGTGTTTTGCTGATAGGCAGCAACGATACGTTCACATTGCGTAGACAAATTTTTAGTACGAATAAACTCCTGATGTTTCTTGTAATACTTTCATGTGGAACTTACGTTTGCTGACCTTTATTGTAACACTTTTATTTGGAACATAGTTCTGCTACTTTTATTAGGATAGTCCTTGCGGTGCCTACACTAAGGTAGTTATTGAGTTGCTAACTTGTCAAGTTTATGTTATCCAGCAAATTTTTGAGGTTATAAACTAAAAGGAAGTGAATTAATAAACTTCTATCTCACTGGTTTATGACACCCTGTTTTCCAAAACTTTGTTGTTCCCAAAGTTTGAATCCTTGAAGTTTCTAAACTGATGACTTTTTATTTATTGTGATAATTTTTGCTTTGTGTTTTTTCACTCTTTCATTATTTATTATTAACCTTCATGTTTCTGACTTTCTTTTAATGTGATTTTCATGTTTTAAATCTATATTCTGCTTCTTATACTATAGTAAGCTTCAGAGTGATGCACTGAGGGAAGCAATCTCCACTATCGTGAATGCTTCAAAAGAGAAGAAGCGGAACTTCACTGAGACCATTGAACTCCAGATTGGGCTAAAGAACTATGATCCCCAAAAGGACAAACGTTTCAGTGGTTCTGTGAAGTTGCCACACATTCCCCGCCCAAAGATGAAGGTCTGCATGCTTGGAGACGCTCAACATGTGGAAGAGGTAAAATTCTGCTCCATTTGGATATGATTAAACTGTTGGTTCCACTTCAAATTATCCTCCACTATGCTCTCTTTTAATGCAGTAAGTTTTGGTTTCACATTGAACTTTTCTTTATGATGGTTCTTTCTTCTGTTGGGTTGGTAATGTTTTCTTTTTGGTGTATTCTGTTCTATATTTTCTAAGATTTCTCTTCCACTGATTGTTGGCTAACATGGCTATGTTTTTGGTGTTTGTAAATTTTTTGTTTTTGTTTTAAGCCTTCTATCTATCTTTTTGTCTTTTAACCATAAAGAGAAATTTGTGTTAATTAGAGTTAGTTCTTATATTCAATGTATGTACAATGAAAATTGAAAGGTTATTCTTTGATGCAAACGCTGCAGCAGAAAAGACAGGTTTGGATTATATGGAATGTGGAAAGGCTTGA